CTCCGGCTATCGGCGAGACGCTTTGCGTTCCTGCTTGGCGGCACCATCTGCTTCACGACCCTTTTTCTCGCTAGCTGCTGCTGCCTGTTCTTCGTCATAGGCGCTGGACGGTGGCTGACTCATTGAAGCTCGGTGACGTTTCCGCGACATCGAAGGCGATGGAGCACAGATCGGCGACAGAAACCTTGACTTGCGCCTTTCTGGCCTTCCTCACATTCCTCTCCTTCCTCTCTTTCCTTTACTTCCTCCATTCCCTTCCATACCCCCCTACGCATGACCCCCCCAACCCCCTCCCCAACCCCCTCCCCACCCCACTTCCCTCCACCCAACCCCACGACCCTCCACCCCCTATGTTTGGCTACACCTCTCCCCTCAGCCCTTCCTCCCCATCCCCCTCGCCTTCCTGAGACCGTGGAAGATGTCCCTCCCTCTGATGACACCCCACGTGGCATGGGGCAGAAAAGCGCTTTAGGGAGTTGCCACGCCCTTCCCGCAATTCGGCGAGATGATCCCCGCAAATGCAGGAATGCGCCGGATCTGGAGGATAGAGCTGAAGCGGGATTCACCCTTCCCCCCTCCCCTCTCCCCCTCCTTTTTTCCTCTCTATCCCCCGGTCTTTTCCTCTACCCGTTTGGAATCGCGCGAGTTTTCGACAGCAAGGGGTCAAGGAGGAGCAGTGTGTTCGGTTCTGATTGAACCGATTTGATAAGATTGTTTGGTATTTCGGAAACTTTGTTATCGTGGAATGCTCATCTTTTCCTTCGTTCTACCTCTCCTCCCTTTCCTCCTTCTCTACCCCTCTCCTCTCTTTCTCTCCACCTCCTTCCGTCATCATCCACTTCGTCCTCAATCATGTGGTTTGCTGGTTTTTGCTGCGATCTTTCAGTAGAAGTGTCTCAATGCACTATGTGACTTTATCTAGGATATGACTTGTGATGGGTTGCCATCAATACGTGTTTTGTCGTGAATCAAACTCTCATTTTCGCCAGTCGAATTCTTTTCCATCATCTTCACTTTTTTTCATTCATATGGTATGCTGTTTTTGGAGAAGGTGTCTCAATGAAGCATGTGATTGTATCTGAGATGTAGCTTGCAACGGTCTATCATCAAATGCTTGTCTTGTTGCTGGGGCTGGTCATGTGTGTGTAAATGATATGTCTCAACGGAGCATGTGATTGTATTTGAGATATAGCTTGCAACAGACTGTCGTCAATGTTTGTCTTGATTATTTCAACGTTTTTCAAGAAGCTTTCGTTCTTCCACTTGTCGAATCTTTCGTTTCACCTTTTTCTGCTTTACGGGATAATTTTTTTGCCCCCTTGAAGTGCGGGGCACCCCTACCCCCCTTCACCTCGATTAGCCATCTAACGCGAGGTATGGCCCACCACAAATGGACTTACAGCTGTCTCTTATACACATCTAGATGTGTATAAGTAGCATGAGTATGACGTGTCGTCACTGCCGTACCCCCATTCACCGTTCACGGGGTTTGTGAACGGAGCCGGTCATAGAGTTCACAGAGTTCACGACCTGTCTCTTATACACATCTAGATGTGTATAAGAGACAGGAGTAGCATGAGTATGACGTGTCGTCACTGCCGTACCCCCATTCACCGTTCACGGGGTTTGTGAACGGAGCCGGTCATAGAGTTCACAGAGTTCACGACACGGGAGTTCATGGAGTTCACGGAGAGYWTTTTTTTTTTTTTTTTTTTTTTTTTGGGCTGGGGGGGTATKTTTTTTTTTTATACGAGGGTGGGGGACATCGAAGGGTAACTCCCTATAATTTTTTCAATTTCGTTTTTTCACGAATAATTTTTTTTTACTTAAAAACGAAAAAAAAAAAAATTAACCAGCCAAAATAAGCATTTTCTTTTGCTATTTTGTAGGTCACACCACTCTTTAGTGGTCGTCCCGTTCACCAAAAAAACACCAAATGAACGGCCGGTCACGTTCACGGGTCCGGCACTGCGTGTCGTGCTCATGCGAAACGCATGTGACACACACGTGCTACACACTTAGGAGGACGTGCTTCCTCGATCGCTGCCAGAGGGTGGCCCCCCTGACCACACCGTGAAGCGTTCTGCGTTCCTTATACGCCCCCGCGTGGATATGGGTTGATGACGGTGGCTTCGGGGCACGCCCGGGTCGTCTGAACACTGGTAGGGATTGGCTGGATAATATCGGAAGGAAGATGGCTATGTACGGCGTGAATTGTGGTGAGAAATGATGTGATCTTGGGGACAGTCGGTGGGAACTTGCTTTGACGTATCTTTGTTGTCCTCTCGCATGTGATTCCTTCATTGCTCCTAATCCCCGCTTAATCTTTCCCAATGATCTCCCGAGCTTACTTTCTACTGACTACCTCTATCCGCCCCTGATCGCCCGATTTTCTGTTCCCGTTCCTCTTCCTTACCTTCTCCCTCCTTCCTTCTTTCATGTCCCTGTTCCGTCCGATCGTCTCTTTCGCTGCACGACCGCAGAGGCCGCCCAAGGAATCCTTCCCGAGCGGCTGGTGGAACGAGTTGACGCATCGCTTCCCGTGGCTAAAAGGTTGTGCATGGCCCTCGAAACCTACGCAAGCCCTGATGACTTGCGTTAACCCGGGGATCATGGACGCGATAAAAAACACATGGGACACCGGACGCTTCCCCCATTTTTTCGAGATGCTGTGCTTCAGCAACTTTGCTGTTCTCGCCAGGGCATGGGATCCTAGCAAGGAGGAGTTCGATGTTGAGTTGAGGGTATTGAATGAGCGGCTTGAGTTAAGGAAGCAGGAGTATGCCAGGGAGTGTAAGGAGCTGACGGGAAGATCCGTCAGGGTTGAACGGACCCTCTCAGGATATGGGGCGTAGATGACTCGCACCTAGACGGGCGGGTCCACGACGCACCGGGGGGATCTTCGCCTACCGCAGCGGGCAACCAGGTCACCAGGCGTGATGATCTTGCGATAGAAGATGATGAGAGGGAGGAAATGGAGCGGGCTATCGCTGCCATTGTGACCACCATCAGAGATTCCCCACTCACAGATGGTCGGGCGAGTGCCAACGTTTCGGAACAGGACCGATATACGGCGTTCGCTCCTCTGGCTTCCACGTATTGGGTAGAGCACACGTCCACTGGATTTTGACATGCGATTTGGAAGATGGAAACTTTTAACCACGTAGCGCCAATCTCCGTTAGGGCTCTTCAATTCCTGGGAAACATCTCGGATGAGCAGGTGAAGCAGTGCAGGACACAAGCGTTGAAGGGAAAACTGAAATTCTCCGGGAGGGTCCCTCCGCTGAACCCCCAGGACCTCAAATTCCCACCCATGCGCGCATTTGACCTGAACAAATGCGGGGATACGAGTTCCGGGATGTGGCAAAAGGCGATCAGGCAGTAGGATAGGCTGGATCTTAGGAATGTGAGGAAGATATGGAGTGTGGGCAGACCCTATCTCAAGTGCAAGTGCAAGAGGGAGACGAACAGGGACTACGGAGACACCCCTCTGTGGTTCGACCATGCCCTCTGGTATCTATTTGCGCACCCGGACGTATTATTCCCAGACATGTCCTCGATCAAGATCAGGACATCGATGTTGATACACTACCTTAGAACTTTGTGGAAGGAGGGAGTGCTTGTTGCCATTAGCTATCACTTCATTAGGGATCTGATGATGGGGTACATTAAGGAACTTGAGATATATGCGGCTCTCGATACGGAGGGTCTGCTGAAGGATGATCGTTTATGGAACTATCCGGTCCCCGCCCTGCTTGCACGAATCATGCTCCCCATACGAATCCCTTAGAAACCCACAAGATTCCCACTCAGCTCTCCACGTATCGCAGCACGAAAGAGGAACACAGGCATGCAGATACCGGGCCAGACCACGCTCAACTTTCGACGAGTAACCCCGGTACCCGACGCTCCCCCTCCGCCCGCGCCTGCTCCTCCTCCTCCTCCTCCCCCCCCC